ATCAGGGATAGAAAAATAAAGGTTATTTCTATAAGCTAACAACAATCAGGAAATTATGTTCAAAATATAACACCATTTTTAATAGCATAAAAATGTGAAATCCTGAAAAGATAATTTTGACAAAAGATATACAAGATCACTGCCCTGAAAACTATAATGCATTGCTGAGATAGAGGAATAAAGATCTTAACTGTGTTTATGGATCAGATGACTTAGTTTTAAATTCTCAATTTTCCCTTAAATTTGTCACAAAGCCCATCAGAATTCTAGCAGGCTTTTTTTTTTTTTCTTTTAATTGACAAAGTGATTCTAAAACTTGTATGGAAATGTAAAAAGCCTAGAATAGCCAAAGCAACTTTGTGAAAAGGAAGAATAAATCTGTAGGACTAACACTTCCTGGAAAAAGTGATTCTAAAACTTACATGGAAATGTAAAAAGCCTAGAATAGCCAAGGCAACTCTGTAAAAAAGAAGAATAAATTTGTAGGACTAACACGACCTGATTTCAATACTTATTAAAAGCTAGAGAAATATAGATAGTGTGACATTGGTATTAAGGTAAACAAGTGAATCAATGGAACAGACTAGAGAGTATATAAATAGACTAAAACATACAGTTAATTGGGTTTCACCAGAGGTGCCAAAACAATTTTAATGGAGGAAAGGTGATCTTTGAGATATAATTATACTAGAACAATTACATAGTCACATATAAAACAAAAATACACTATAAAAAATTGATAATGTAAGAGCAAAAAGTATAAAATTTGTAGAAGAAAATGGGAAAAATTTTTGGTGACTTTGGGGTTAGCAGTATACTTTCTATTAGATTATTGTTTTTTAATGCAATCTGAGAACCTTTGTCTTTTAATTGGAACATTAAGTGTATTTATATTTAATATAACAGTTGATATGTTTGGGTTTAATTCTGTTTTCTGACTATTTGCTTTTTATTTCTCTTGCTTATTCTGTTTTTTTCTTGCTTGCTTTATTTTTAATTGCTTAGTTATTATTCCATTAGTAATAATACAGTTTTTGCTGTTCTGTGTTTTGTAGAGATTACCACACACATCCTTGACTTCTCTAGTCTAATACAAATAGTAGCTTTACCTCTTCTTGGACAAGAACCAGGACAACTTTAATTTCAGTTACTTCATCCTGGCACATGTGCTGCTTTTATCATATGTTTTAATTCTTTATATATGTTAAACCCTCAAAAGGTTATTGTCATTACTGTTTTATACTCAAAGTTTATTTATATCAGCTCTCTCAGCCTTAGCACTATTAACATTTGGGTTGGATAATTCTTTTTTGATGAGGAACTGGACTTTGAATACTTAATAGCATCCTTGGCCTCAAGCCAGTAGATACCCCTAGCACCCTCCCTTCAGTTATGACAACCAAAAATGCCTCTAGACATTACCAAATGTATTATAAGAGATGGAGGGAATCATCCTACCCCAAGTTGAGAATCACTGATTTGGATTTACCTAAACATTTATCCTTTTTGTTTTTATTTCTTCTTGCATCTCCAGTCTTTTTTTAGGATTATTTTCCTTCTGACTGAAGAAGACCTTTTAGTAATTCCTTTAGTGCAGGACTCCTGATGACCAATTTTCTTTTTGTGTATCTGAAAATGTTTATATTTTATATTCATTCAGAAAAGATGTATTCCATAGATACGGAATTCTAGGTTGGCAAGTGGTTTTGTTCAGCATTTTGAAGATCTCATTACAATGTCTTCTTGTTTTTATAGTTTCTACTAAGTAGTCATCTGTCAATCTAATTATTTCCCCTGTAAAAGTAACTTATGTTTTCTGGCTACTTTTAAGATGTTCTCTTTGACTTTGGTTTTCAGCTGTTTTACTCTTAAACATTTGATTTTCTTGTTTTTATCCTGTTTGGAATTCATAGTACATCTTGAATCTATAGCCTGATATTCATCATATCTGGAAACTTCTAAGCCCTTATCTCATCTAATAATACTTTCTTGCTTCTCTCTCTTTCTTTTTAGAAGTATGATTAGATGTATGCTAACCTTACTTTGTCTTGTTTTGTTTTTTTGTTTAATTTTTTTTTTTTTTTCAGTTACACTGGACAATATTATATTGGTTTCAGGTGTACAGCATAGTGGTTAGACATTTATATAACTTATGAAGTGATCCCTCTGATAAATCTAGTACCCACCTGACATTGTACATAATTATTACTTATTATTGACTATATTCCCTATGGTGTACTTTACATTCTCGTGACTATTTCGTAACTGTCAGTTTGTACTTCTTAATCCCTTCATCTTTTTAACCCAGTCGCCCAACTCCCCTCTCATCTGGCAACCATCAGTTTGTTCTCTGTATCTATGAATTTGTTTCTGTTTTGTTTGTTCATTCATTTTTATGTCTTTAATGTATCTTTCCCTCTCTTATGTTTTTCATCCTTCTCAGCCACCTCTTCCGACCTGCAGATGTCTCCAGAAGAAAAGCTCTTCCTCTTTGGGTTTCAGTGCTACCCCTGTTATTTCCCCCACCTTGTCTGGTTATTGTCAGCAGGTTGATCTGAATTGCCTAGACTGACATTTTTATTATTTATTATTTATTTGTTTATTTGTTTATTTATTTAATTTTTAATTAATTTATTTTCATTATGGTGACATTGGTTAAAAAAATCCAGTTAAGTCAACAGTAAGACATATATATATATATATATTGCATTGTGTATTCACTACCCCTTTTACTCCATCTACCTCCTCCCTCTTCGCTACCCCTCTATCTTCTGGTAACCACTAGTCTATTGACCATGTCCATGAGTCTCTGTTTTAGACTGCCGTTTTTAGAAGCAGAATTTCTCTCAGATTCATTTTATTTCCTGCTGCAATATATCTTCTTTCTTAAAGAGAATGTTATGAGTTGTAAACATTTTGAATTCTTCTATGACAGAAAATTTCATTCTGTTTAGTTGGAAATAGAATTATTTCAAAATTATTTTCCCTTGTACTTTACAGATATTGTTCCATTAGTTTCTTAAATCTAGTGTTACGATGAGAAGTTTAATTTGAATCTGATTTTCATCTCTTCCTAAGAAATCCTTTCTTTCTTTCTGTAGAAGCTTTTTTATCATATTTTCAGTTCATCTTTATTATTCAGAAGTTTGACTACATATATAGGTTTTTAAAAAAATTTATTTATCTTGAGATCTTTTAATCTAGTGACTTTTTTTCCCCCTACACAAGCTCTCTTTTACTAAGGCTATGTTTTTCCTCTTTTGATTCATCCCATCTTCTCCCATCTTTGAAGGACTCCTCACAATTTCTGTCTCACCAGGAGTTCCCCTTCTTATTTTCTAGTGAACTATATATTCATGTGTGTATTTGTTTGTAATATATCTTGTATTATTTCTAGGTGTCTGGTGAGAGAAGAGGATGTGATAGCTGCTCAGTTTACCCTCCTGAATCTTAGTAGTTTTTTTTATAACTTCATCTACCAGAACCGTCCTCCTCTAGTCAAGTTGCACTTGGATCATATTCTGACTTGCCACCACTTTACCTTAGCTCAACAGTCTCTAAGGTATCTTTATGTCAGCTAGCCTCAGCGTGCAAACTTTGCTTAATATATATGTCCATTAATTACTGCAGTCATTTCAAAACTTTTGCGATAGGTCATTGAAATGAACATATATTAGAATAACTTTTTGTAATCTACTTTTGGAAAAACATGCAAAACATAAAGAAGGAGCATACCCCTTAGCTGATGGGCAGCTAAAATTGTAAAAGTCAATTCAGAGAGCAAACTAATGTTGGAAAGAAATAGCAATAGCAACAGGGGAAAGCAATATGAAAGTTGGGACTGTGAGTAGAATTTGCTGAGTGGCAGGGGAGTGGGATCTGATGGAGGGCATAAATGCTATGTTTTGCAGAAAAACATACATAGAAATGTTCTTGCTTTGACAAGACTCTCCATCTTGTGGTGGATAAGAGTTATGAGGAGCAGGGCCCTGAACATAAGGGCTCTAGAGATAAACTCTCCCATTGGAGTCTCAGGTATCCTGTTGTCCCTAGGCCTCCTGTGAGTACTCACTTAACAGAGTACCTGAGCTGACCTCCCTCCCAGTTTTTCCATCCTGGAAACTGTCTCCCTTAGTCTTTCTCTCCACCGCACCCCCACCTCCCCGCAAATTGGCTTACTTGTACTTATCCAGAAATCTAAATAGATATGTACAGAAATAAATTTGCAGAGCTATCTTAATTTTAACAAAATCCGAATCTGAAGTTTCATTGAAATGTTTAAATTTTACGAAATGGCCTCTCAATGCCAATTTTATAATTGATGCCTAGGCCTTTGTGATTTTCAGTGATTTATAGAATTTCTTATTGCATTCAATATTTAATAAACAACTTTGCAATTGGGTGAATATGCTTCTAGAAGTAAGATTTTATGACACTCTAATTATAATAGGCATTATTTTAATCAAGTAAATTCTTTCTAGCACTTATTGTGTTTATCACAACATTAAATATCATATATAAACCTTGATTAACTTACTGTTTTTCTCTAAAGTTTTTCATCAGTTGTCTTAAGTAAGCTTTTAAAATAGTGAATTTCGAATTTTAAACTTCTACACAAAGACACGAGATGTCTGTTAGCCCTTTTAACTTCACTCAACAGGCTTAAAATGAAAAAGTTTTAATTAATCCTTTATATTCTTTTAGGACTTTAAAATAGAGAAAGAATGAAAACTTCAAGCCAACTTATACTTCTATTGAGCGTATAATTCTATTTAACCATATAAAAATATATCTAATCCTAATTCCATAAAATTTGAAATACTTGGGAAGTATTCATCCTGAAAAAAAAGTAAACAAAATAATGCACATTTAAAACCTTAAAAATCTATTAGTAAGAGCTAATTTCCTCAAGTGTTAAACATATTTACAACACAACACACCCAAATATTAAAACCATTCCACATGCTATAGTAGAAACTTAAAATTTAAAACTTTTTTACCTGGAAATCTAAACTAAGTAGGCTTTGCTTGGTGTCATTTAAGTCTCCAGCTGAAAATGAAACAAAAATCAGCTTTCTTTAAAACAAAGAACAGAAGGGAATGGTGAAAAATGATAACTGACTTCTTAGTAAAATCTAAAATAACTGCTTCTCTTGGGAATAAATGCCTTTCAGTTCTTTGTGCAGAAAATCAGCCAAGGGAGTAACCAGGGAAAATGGTTACCAAGGGAAATATTTTTTCTAAATCACAAGAAAAATGGAAAGCAGCAGCAGGCGGAAAAAAACATTAGTCTGTAGGCTGAGAAGGCAGAAGCATGAAAATGGAGCTTGATTAAGAAATCTGTGGTTTTCGTAGACTATTTGCATAAAAAATTCTCGACCTTTAAACTAGCCTGTGTGATACCATTTGAGTTTTATCAGATTACAGAGATGCCATTGTTGCCAAGTTAGAACTGCATTCCTGGGATGCCTTTAGTTGGGATAATGCATCTCTCATCATCTCTCTGTCTGCCCACCCCCATCTCACATGCAGTTTTGTTAACAAAACAAAAAGCTGTTACATATTAATGTCATTGAAATTATGTAACTTCCAAACTTGAAGCAATAACAAGAAAGTGTTCAAGAGAGCTGTGATGTTTCTGATTATGGTTACTCTGTTAAACTGTTTATGTACTTTAGCCTCAGTGTCTTTTATCTGCAAGTGAGGAGGTCAGAGACAGGTCAGGATTGCAGGCACATAGCACTGCTTGCAGGTGACCTTGAGTGAGTTACTGCTGTTTCTGACTAAAGTTTATTCTTTTGTGCAATGGAGATGGTAATAGTTACCTTATTTTCGTGCAAATAAAATGAATAACATATATAATGTGCCAGTTATAGAGTAGGTAATTACATAATACCTATTTTTTAAATTCATATTATTCTAGTGCACATTTCAGTAGCACATATATTAAAATCTTATTCTTCTACCTCAGGGATCCAAAATATTTGACAGAGAAGAGCTAGATATTTTTTCCCTAAATCTTAAAATGACCTGGAGGGATCAAATCAAGATGATGGACTAAGTTCATGGGCCACTCAAATTTCTAAAAATAATTAAAAACTATGGAGAGAGATTGAAGTATACAGGCATACAGAGTTGTCCACAATATACCAAGAAGAAATAAGAAATTTCAAAACAGTACATGTGCTATTACCTTCTTTTAATATATACAATTTAGCATCTTTCTAGAGAACGTTGGAAGGAATAAACAACAAACTGTTAATAGTGATTATCTTGCTGATCGAATTATGAGGAAAATTTACTGTGTAATTCTCCATTTTTATGTTTAAAGGTTTTTAATACCCACATCAGAAAACTGATAACTTTTTAAAGAGAATTTAAACAATCACTAGAAGAAGTAACAAGTAGCAGTATAGAGGAGTAGCATTAATTACCATGCCAAGATTGACAAAGTGACAGAGAACTAGATTGTACAGTTTCTGATGTCTCTGCCCTAAAATTTTGTGGTTTAATGTACTGTTATATGAATCCTTCTGCACAAACTATTTTAACAACAGTAGTGAATGGAAAATACTGGTATTAGAGTTCTCTACCCCTTTATTATTATAGCGATCTTTTTTATTACTATTATTATTAATCTGTAATCACAGAGTAGCATACAATTAACAGAAAACAATTATTTTGTACAAGCTGAATCAAAGACAATAGGACATGGAAAAAATACCACTTCTATGTATAATTTGTTCTATGTACCAATAAAACCTGCTTTAAATTTCTGTGCTAATTTTAACCCCCATACTCTACCAGGCAAGGTTAGTGAATATTGAAAATACCATGAAGGACAGAGCTAGCTATCTAAAAACATACTAGATATTGTGTAAATTTTTACAAAAATGAAAAACACTGTACAATGCCCAGCATAACTATATCTCGAAACTTGGCTCTAACAGCTGCTCTGCAAAGTTTAGTGTTATTCACCAAACAGGATGTGAGCAGGTCCCTCAGTGCCCAGGCCACAAGGGTGGCTAATGTGGGTTCCAGCTCCGGAACATGTTTGAGTAAGGTCACCTTTTCAGTATCTTCACGTCTGTGGTGTAGAGCTCCAGAATGTGTTTGAGTAAGGTCACCTTTTCAGTATCTTCACGTCTGTGGTGTAGAGCAACAGAGAGTTAGTTTTTCTTTTAAGGGTGTACTTGCTTTCCATATGACAATTTTGTAGATAACACCCAGATAAAGCTAAATTTTGGAAATTTTAAGTGAGGCCTCTCTCAGAATTGGGAGTCCTACCTTGCCTCTGGCCAGTTCTGTGTCACCACCTCATTGCCATAGTCAAACGTTTTTTCAGCTAATTCACACTGAAGTATGACAGTTGCTTCATTTGCTTTTTTTGAATTCATCCTCTCAAAGCAATATTAACATTTAAGTGGAGTACTGATGTATAAATTTTCTGTGACATATTCAACCATTCACTTATCATTGGACATTTGGGTTGTTTCCCCTTTTTGAGTTTTGATGCGTGTTTCTGGGTCACTTTCAAAAAGATTCTAGAGATGTATACTCCAACCAGAAACATATAAAATGCCCGTTCTCCTACCACTTTAGTTTTTAAATTATTTCATATTTTTGAATAGGAAATATATGTAGGTGCCATATATTTTTAAAGTGGACCATTAACATTTTTGGTTTTCTATATCTAATACTTATAGATTGGGTGATTCTACAAACCTCCCCATCAAAGACAACTAAAAAAGCTGAATCACTATAAACATCTTAAGATCATCAATGATGTCTCACTGGGCCCAAATCTGAGAGGCCTGTGATCAGCTTTTTGCCCTGAGGGTGTTTGCCAGAAATATTAAAGAGCAAAATTATCAATGAAAACAATTTCGCAGTGGACAAGATCAACAATGCTAAAAGTTGTGGGTTTTTTAAAAAATAAATTAAAAATAGTAAAATTGGAAGCAAATAGTCAAATAGGAAGAGAAGAGAGAAAGTTGTGGGTTTTTTAAAAAATAAATTAAAAATAGTAAAATTGGAAGCAAATAGTAAAATTGGAAGCAAATAGTAAAATAGGAAGAGAAGAGAGAAAGCACAGGTTACCGGGATGAGGACTAGAATAATTGCTCATTACAGATTCTGAAAACATTTAAAAGAAAATAAGAGCATATTATGAACAACTTTATGACATAATTTAGATGATAGAGAGAATTTCTAGAAAAATATAACTTAATAAAACTATCAGAAGAAGTAGAAAATCTGAATTACCTATAACTATTAAATCAAATTCATAATTTCAAACTCTCCCACAAAGAATACCATAGGCCTATTTATTAACAAATTCTATCAAACAATTTGTTAAGGCCAGCATAACTTTTATAACCTGTCAAGGACATTATAAGAACAGAAAATTATAGATCAGCCTAACTAATGAGTATAGATTCAAAAGAAACTAGAATATTAGCAAATCAAACAAACCACATATAAATAGGATAAAGCGTCATGACTACATTGGGTTTATTCAAGAAACCTGGTTGATTTAAGGATAAAATTCAAACATTATATGATTATCTTAATGTTTAAAGAAGAAAGAAGGAAAGAAGGGGAATAAAGGAAAGTGGGAAGGCAGGCAGGCTTTTATCATACTAGAAATAGATGCAAACTCCTTAGTCTGACAGAGTATCTACAGAAAACGATATTCTTCCACTCACTCCTAGCTATGTAATCAAGAGAAGTGGAAATGTATATCCACGTGAAAACTTATATACAAATTTTAAATTTCATAGCTGCACTATTTATAACAGCCAAAATGTAGAAATAGCCCAAATGTCCATCAGTTAATGACTGGGTAAATAAAATGTGGAATATTATTTGGCAAAAAAAGAAATGAAGTATTGACACATGCCACAATGTGGATGAACCTCAAAATCATTATGCTCAGTGCAAGAAGCCAGGCACAAGAAGCCACATACTATATTATTCTATTTATATGAACTGTCCAGAACAGGCAAATCCACAGAGACAAAAAAATGAGTGGTTGCTGGGATGAGGAGGGTGGGAGTTGGAGCAGCATGGGTAGTTACTGCTGATGGGTATGGGCTTTCTTTATGGGGTGATCAAAATGTTCCCAAAACAGGTAGTGCTGCTGAGTCAGAACTATGAATATATTAAAAACCACTGAATTGTATACTTTAAAAGGGTGAACATTATGGTATGTATCTCAATAAAGCTGTTATTTAAAAAAATACTCAATGGTGAAATAATTAAATTTTTCTCTTTCTGGAAATAAGATAAGCAGGCCCACTATAGCTCCTAGCCAGTGCATTAAAGCAAAAAAAAAAAAAAGTTATGGAAAAATCTGAAATGATTTTCAGATAAGTTATTAAAATCATCTGAAGAGTTTACACAACATATAAAAATCAGTTGTGTCGTTCTATAGTTAGAGAATGAAATCGAGGAAAGGGAGTACTTTAAATATCAAATATATTAAAAAATATATCAAGTACATAGGAATAATCTAACCAAAGATGAGCAAATGTTGAGAGAAATTAAAGAAGACAATATGGGGGAAAGGAGATACCACCATTAGGGAAGATACCATTTCTACTTAAACTGATTCAACTTGATACATTTTCAATCAAAATCCTAACAGTTTACCTTGCTGGGTTTTTTGTTTTTTGTTTTGGTTTTGGTTTTGGTTTTGGTGGAACTTGACAAGTTCTAAATGTATGTAGAAATCCAGAGGCCAAAAAATAGCCAAGCTATTCTTGAAGAACAAGGCTAGAGGACTTTCTGTCTTAATTATCAACTCTTATTATGAGAAACTACAGTAATTAAGATAGTTTAGTAATGACACAAGGATGAACAATAAACCAGTAGAACAGAAAGTAGCACAAAGGACTTGTTTACATTTGGCTACTTGATTTATGAGAGAAGTGGTCCTGCCAGGTGTGGGGACACCTCACCTCAACCAAGATTGTTTAGAGGGACTGAGGAATAAAGACAGAAGAAACTACAGATATGAAAACAGCCCCTGGCCTTTTTCTGTTTTGCTCCAGAGACTAGAACCAGCATCAGTGGACAGAGGATACAGACAGGCTGATTTGGGCTAGTTTAGAAAAAAAAAACAAAAAACTTTCTAATAGCCAGCACTGCCCTGCTAAGCTGCTTGATGAGGTGCTGAGTCCGCACCAACTGGAAACCAGATGACATTCTATTGGGAATGCTGCCAAAGGGACTTCTCAAAGACACTGAACTTAACAATATCATTTTAGTGATAAGGTTCCATGTTTCTTTGAGTCTGCTTCATTAAAATGGCGTTGTCAGGCCACAGGGACTTTGGAGGTCAATCTCTCTCTGGGACTTCCCTCACTCTCTGAGCAGAGTTTGATCAAGGGACAGGCTTAGTAAAATGTCCCACGTAAACTATCAGAGGTGGGTTCTAGGTCAGGTTCTCTGTACATGTGTTTTCCAGTTCATTGCCCTCCCTTGAAGTCCCAGGTATCTGGAACAGATCCTTAATCTCCATGCTGAGCATATCAGGCAGAGAATATATCAGTGGGTTTCTTCTCTGCCTTTACATTTAGGTATAGAGACAAACTCCAGGGAGCAAGTGGTACAACTTGAGGATGTAAGGGTGCTAATGTCTTGATAAGAGGAATAAATCTAACCTGCATGGACCCTAGAAACAAAGCCACTTGGGCAGAAGGCTCTGGGATATCAAATGCCCAAAGCATGATCTTGAGGGGGAGGCTCTTGCTGTAAGAGAGCTTGTGGGTACCTTGCTTAGTGGAGAGTGGCATGACCAGAGGAGGGCCTCCAGTTCAGAAACCTCCTCTTGCCCGAGTGTAAGTGTAAAACTAGGATTTGGAAGCCAAAAAGAATCGTGAGTGGTAACTGTAGTTTTCAGGGGAGAAAATATTCTAGGGAGAAAATATTCTAGGAGAAATCGATAGAAGTGTGTCAACGACTTTGGTGTGGTGGTCTCATTGTGATGTGACATGGTTCCCAAAAATGATGTCCTATATAATTTCATGTTGCTACATATACTTAGCTCTTGAGATAAGGGAAGTGCTATCATAAGTAATATGAATTAAGGAAACTATTCTGAAATATTCTGGTTTGGGGGATATAAAAAATACAGCAAATAAACAAACAAGTAGGTTCTTATATATAACTGAAGAGAGCATCTTCACAAACTTGTCCATGAGTCAGGAGGAGTCCCTTAAGTTTGTCAGTCTGGTCTTGGGTATGAATTCACACCTTGCAGGTATCCATATTTTTGGACTCATGACCTAAACCTGAATGACTCGACCATGTCAAGAGTGTGGCATTTGAGCCCAGATGTTAAATGATGGCAGTGACTGCATCTTGGAGGGATCACAGTGGAGCCTGTCCACAGCATCCTTCAGTCAGCTGTTTTCTATAATCTTAATTTGTTTCTCTTCTATTAATATACTCAAGCTTCTGTCAGCCAGAAAGAATCTTCTTATATCCTGTCCGTCTGTCTGTCCTCAAACTGCCATCTAGTCCTTCTTCCCATTCTCTACTTGGTTTCTTGGAAAAGTAATCTACATGAAATGCCTCCATGTACTCATCTCCCATTTGTTACTCATTCCACTGCAGTTCTGCTGCAGCATTTTTGGCTGTCATAAAAGTGCCCTCTCAAAAGTCCCAGTGGCCCCCGAAGCCTTATTTTTTCTGGTCCTATCAATTGCCATATTCTTGGATTTTGGTCTGCTCTTCTTTCTCATCATCTTTTACTGCCCCTCCCCCTTGTTCATATTGTAAATGTTGATGTTTTCATCCTTTTTCTTCCTCATAATCTTGTTCGTTCATTAAGCAGATATAAACAAGCACTAATTACATTGCTTTACATATGCCAATGAGTACAGATCTATTCTAAGTTCTAAACTGTTTCCTGAGCTTTATACTCAAATTGCCAACTTCCATTTTGCCAATTTGGCTTGGATCGCTCCCAAGCATTGCATCAGCATATCCAGAAGAACAAGATGTGCTGTGTACCGCCAAACTTGTTATTTCTTCTGTACTTCTTATTATAGATAATTCATGGAAATGCAGAAATGCAAGATCTACCTAATGACTGGTTTTACTGACTGAAGAGATTTTCAAATTTAGTTTCATCTCTGCTTTTTATAGCTAATTATTTAAATTTAGGCTTGGATGGAAATATGAATTCATATCATGTTCCTACAGCGAAAATATCATTTTTGCTTACCCAAACCAACCTGTTTTAACACTCGTAATATTCTGACAAAAGTTCAAGAGACTTGCTATTACAGAAAAAATTTTGCACAAAGAAAACCACATTTGGTATTTATAGTTTAGTTTTCATTCTTAAAAAATATAGTAAGTCATTTTTTGCCATAAGTACAAAGTTAAAAATGTATGTTATTCAGCACTTAGTTTTGTAGAGTTTTAAAGTAACCCAGGAATAGACATTTTCTATATGTTTATTGACAGAATTAGGTCCTCACTTGTTTCTACACACCCTGTACATGATGAGGATGGGACAGAAACAAGGGAACCAGCATTAACAAGTTCCACTGTGTACCAGATACCTGGTTCTCTGCTAGCGTAGTACTCATGTATCTCAACAACTCCTTTAACCTGATGATATGCATTGATATCCTCCTATTTACAAAGAAGGAAAGCTGAAGCATTACAGCGGCTGAGTGAGATAACTAAAGCTTCATGGAGTTAAGTAATAGCCTAGCTTGCTGAGAAATGAGAGAACTGAGAGGGACTCCAAGTTTAATTTATCCACAGCAGTCAAGCTGGAGTCACTGTTAGCTCGCCCCTGCAGCGCTCCTTTCCCCAGCAGACACGGAAGAATGAGTAGAACTATATTCTTTAGCCCTCATCAGCAGAAACCAACTCTCATTACCATTATGCTTCCACACACCCATAAAGCCATAGGAGTCAGATGCCTTCGAGATGAAAACTAGATTGCCTGAGTACTTGGAGAACAGATGCAGTAACAGTAACTGCAAAGCTGTGAAGGCTGGAATTCATCTCTGCTGTTTGCCTCCCAGGGAGGGCTGAGTGAGTCCTACTCTCCTCTGGGATTAGGTTCTTAATCTTTAAAGGAAGACCACCGTAGACTCCTCAGGTGTTTCTTTCTGCCATTCTAGATGTGGCATTCCCACTTTGGGAGGAGCTGCCACAGCCGAAGCTTCCAGAACTGGTCTTTTTCTATCATTTTCCTCCTGCAAACCCTGAAACCCATGATTAGCCTGAGGTTTGTGAAAAGATTACACATATGATAGTTTTAACATTTGCGGGGAATGGGGATTCTTTTCCACTGATACACTGTCTGAAGGAGGTAGCTAAAAACCAGAGTAACCACAATATTTACAAAGGTATTTAGTGGAAAAGATGATTTTGGCAAACAGTGTAACCCACCACTCATGGGGAATGAAGCTCACTTGAGGTTTCATAAATCAAAACATAGTGTTTGTCCACGGCTTCATTTTTTCCTCATTTCTGGTAGATGATATCATCTTTTTCATTTCTATTAGAATCTTTTAGCATCCAAGAGTAGGAAAAAAATAATGTTAATTTCATTTATTATGCTGTATTTTCATTTTTAAAGAGAAATTTCATTTGAACTCTGCCATATATGTGAATGGAGTTTTCAAACTCTTCTCAGGGATTTATGGAACTTTTATAAGAATAATATTCTGGAGATTACTGACTTTTTTGTATATGTTCAAGGATATTGTTTTTGAATTAATGTTTTTTTCTCATTTTGCCCAAATAAGACTGATCTTTAAAAGAACATAACTAACACTAAACTCCCACCAAATTATTGCAGAATAGAAACCGAGAAATTGGCTAGAAAATGTAAAGAAGACTGAAGTCCATAATCATAACAGTGTTGAAATTAATCATGCTAATATGTTAAAATATAATATTCATCTTTACCCTGCGATTTTCTGACAGAGTGAAGAATTTGAGTGTTGCCACTTACAGGCACAAATGTGTATAACCTATTTTGCTACAGTGGGGTAAATTGACAACATTAAAGCAAACAAGTCCTATTCTTTTAAAAAGTCAGATCTTCACTTTCTGATAGCCTGCTCTTTTCTTCAGTCCCTAACTTAAGATTCTTTTTTTCCAAGAAGCTTTCTCCAATTCCACAGTTCTCCCATAGCACACTGGTTCTACTACTTCGCCAGCACTGATGTCATCCCATTTTATA